GGTGATGGCTCACTGGTAAGAAGCTCTGTGATGTTGGGGGCCCATGTCTAAGACCTACCCATGCTCCAGGAGGGGCTTGTTCTCTAAAATGAGGCATTCCTGGTCCACCACGAAGAATCCTCTGCTCACATTGCATCAGCTGTGCTAGTGCACTCTCATGGCTAGGAGGAGGGGGAGGAGGAGGTGCCCCATGGGGGAGTGGAGGGTACACAGGTTGTCGCACCCCAGCAGAACAAGAACCTGTGCAACGAAAACAAATAGCTGTCATTTAAGTCTCACTACAATGAAAAAATTCCTTCTTGTTCTCTATTGCTTCTGGTGTTAATTCTGGCCAAAATGCCTCAACCAAAGTATTAGAGCTAACAGATAGTGTTTCAGTCGAGTTAGAAGAGCTGGATCAAGAAAGGAAGAGGTGTCATTTATAAACCATTTCAAATTTTCAACGTATGAACAGTTGATTTAATATGCAGAATGGTAACTAACTCTTAAAAGCACTAAAGTATGCACATAAAATGAGCTGGGGTCACACATTCTACTGTTAAACTAACAGCTAACTGTCATTTTCCCTCTAAATCCAGCCTTCCCAGTTTAATTTGACTTAAATTAAACATGATCTAGTAACATTTTAAAAAAGAAATCCCATTTGAAAAATCAGACACGTTTTATTTTAACTTCAGGCGTAATGCTTGACAGAGTGCTTTTTTGGCTTTAAGTCGAAATGAGATCGAGAAAGAGTGAAAAGTTCTGTTCATTTTTGCAGATCTTTATCAAGTGAAGGGAATCAAATGACTACTTACACTGACCGATGCAAGGTCCATGTGGAGGATAGTGCATCCCATGAGCATACAGCATGTACCCTGATGACGGAGGAGGATACTCTGGGTGAGGGTGCATGTGACCAGGGGGGAGATGCATCCCATGACCTGGGTGTGGTCCATACAGGTGCTGATGGTGAGGAGGGGGACAACATGACCCTGGCATGGGTGAGTAAATAAGGGGAGGGGGTCCTGGAGGAGGTGGATATGACTCTCTGGGGTAGGGTGGTGGATTAGCAGGAGGTGACGGGCTCAGTGCAGAGGGGGGTGGAGGTGGAGGTGAAGAGTGATGTTTCGCGAGTTGAAAGGCAGATGGTGAATGAGCTGCAGCTTGAGCTTCGCTCTGCCGTTGCGCTGACAGCTTTCCAGTGATCTGGTCCAACCGAAACTTCTTAGCCTGATATGTCTGTTTCTTGGGAGCAACTTGGTTTTCATTTGCTGCAGTTGATGCCGTTGGGCTCGTTGGAGTGGTTGGAGTAGAAGTTAGACTTTCTGTAGGAATTGTCACGATAGTTAATTCATTTTCTGTCGTAGGAATCTCTGTCTTCTCCTCTGGTTTTGCATCAGGTAGTAAAGGCTTCTCAATGTCCATAAATGCCATGGAGTATCCGTATCCTCTAGGACTTATTGAAGATGATCTACTCCCCTTAAAACTCCTCCTCCGTTGTACAGTTTTCTCACTCTTAGCGCTAGTTTTGGTGCCAGTTTTGGGAGGAGCCACCTTAGGGGGCAAATTAACCTCCTGGGCATCTAACTTGGGGGGTGACGCAGCCCTCGGGGTAAATTGTTGTTTGGTTGAAGGACTAACTTTTAAAGATAAACTTGTTTTAAATGACATGCCACTTTTGGCTTTGCGTGCTCTTGACAGACGTTCAGCTCGTGAAAGTGTTCTTTTAATTTTGGGACCTTTTGAAGTTTTTAGTTTAGAAGTTGAATTGCCTGGTTTAGAAGTCACTATTGAAGTACTTGTCTCTGTTCTCAAAGAAGTTTCAAATGTAGTTGAAGAATCATTTTTCTCTGGAGATGTCTCTGTGTCGGGGTCTTGGATATTTCCATAACTATTTTCATTTTCTTCTTGTGGAGGGAGATTACTTTGTTGCTCAAATTCAACACCCTCATCGCTGATATTTGAAGAGTTTTCTGTGGCAGTTTTGTCCTTATTTTCTGACACATAGTCCACCTGTTGTTGTTCTATACTTTCATCTTTAAAACTCAAACTGTCTCTATCATTGCTGCAACTACTCTCTTGCTTTTTTCTGTGTTCATGATAATCTTGAGGATCACTCTCCAAAGTCTCATGTGCACTTGAATAGTGTAATGATGCTGATGATATTGTGGAATGTTCCTTTGCATCAAAGAAAACCTTCCTGTCATCATTTTCAGTTTCATTAGCGGACTGATGTTTATCTTCCCGATTCTTTTTTAGTTCATCATTTGTTTTGAGTGCATTCTTTTTATCCATGAATCTTCTCTGCTTCCTTATACCCACTGTGGATGTTTTTTGATGTGGTATTTTCTCCACAGGCATTTTATGCTTCACCAATTGAGTAAAATTACCCTCAAGTAAATCCTCTTTTTCTGTCAATTGATGCATATCAACATGTCTTTCTTTTCTATCTGAAGGCTCTTCATTTTTGATGAATGAATCCACATCAGCTTCAATCTCTTTACTTTTCTTGTCCCTCAAATAAATGAAGAAAAAAAAAATTGATGAACATTTAGCAGTAGGATGCCACAATTAATGATGTAAGAAGCTTCTAACTAAAACCCTTGACAGTTCTTTTTGTAAAGTGATATAAGAGGACCACTTCAACCCTTAACACCCTTGTATCAGTATGCATATTCTCCATACTGTTCTCTATACATTTTCTAAGGTGCTGACAAGGAGAATTTGTTTAACAATCAAGAGCTTCCTTGGGGGTGATGATTTCCCATATTTCTCATAACATAATGTTTGATTCAGGCTTGATGTTGTAAGGAGAAATTAGATACCAGTCACTCTTAGAACCTTAAGGGTTAAAAGTTTTTTTCTAATTCTTTTTTATCTTTTAATTACAATGTTTTCTTGAATGGTGGTGAATCAAAAAGACAACTGAAAGTAAGTGTAATTTGGGAGTACATGTAAGTGTTCCTGATCAATTCACAACACTGTCCCCTTGCCTAGTGTCAGTAAGCTCATACTCCACACGAAGCAAACCTTAACAGACCCAAAACTCAAGCCTCATTAGCAAACACATTTTAATGCCAAGAAATGCTATAACTTTTTACTTCAATCTTTGCATGTGAGGCTTTTAATTCAATCTAAACAAATTGCTATGATCAGTATACCTAAGACAGAGTCTGTAATGAATTTGACACTTACTGTTTTTGAGAATCCACTGTTTGCTCATCAACTTCAGGCATCTCAGCTGGACTTGATACACTGGATTCACTTGCTGTGCCAAAGTCATCCTTCCTGCAAATATGAATGTTCCACAAAAGAGAATTAAAGGTCGTAGCACAGAGTGCTTTAAAAAACAAAGAACATAAACTTCCCAAACAGCCAATAATCCCTTACTCATGCATTTTCCCCTTTCTTCCTCTGTAATCTTTTCTCTTCACTGGAATAACTGTTGTGGGGCTGGTCTCTGAACTCCTCTTACGAGCTCGTTCAGCTCTAGCAGATGCCATCAGCTGCCGCCTTTCTCTCCTTTCTTGAATTTCCTTTTCATGCTCCTGCTTGTCATTGGAACTCATATTGATCTTCTGCAAAGGGAGGGGGAAAAATCACTAGTTTATTACAAAGTATTTAGAAAAAAAAAAGGAAAAGCCATGCTGTCAATACTTCAACCAAGACCCAAGCAAATTGCTGGCAAAAATATTTTTTTGCAATAAAATCACTGTCCAGTACAAAATAATCAACTTAGACACATGCGTTCATCATAACATTACTGTATTCTTAAACTGTAAGGGCACAAGGTAAGACAAATTATACTCTGAAGCATTGTGTTCCACACAATGCATGCTTATCCCTGTTTCCCAAACATGAAGTAACTTGGAGCATTGCTACACCCCCCTGGATAAAATGATTGCATAGAAGCCCTTCTTACACCACCCCACACAACATCACACCACAACTCCCCCCACCCAACTTTTTTTTATGCTTCCCTGCCAATTTGCTGTCACATAAGTGTAGTCCTAAGTGGAAAGAGACTCTATTGGAATTAATTGTCTGGCCCAAGAACACAACACAGCCACCCCTTCCCCCCTCCCCCTGGGCTTGACCTTAGAGCTCTTCATAACAAACACAGGAGTACAAACTACTTGGCCATTATCTCTCCAAAACTTTTAGAAACAAAACAAACTTGGTAACTGGTTATAAATGATCTTCAAAAGCACTCACCCTATTATCTGGTTTGATATTTACTCTGTGGACCACCTTCTTGAATCCATCATAAAAATGAACTTCATATGAACCTATAGTGCAAGGAGCTCAATTAATTTTATTTGTGTATACAGCTTACAAAAATGATTATCCACCTTCAGTACAGATTGACAACATCGATTCATCACGGACAATTGTGTTACATTCTTTTGCTCAAAGATTATGCGGTAGAGCAGTAAAAATCAAACAAAATTGCTGCTACAGCTGTTTGGTTTTGAAAACATTTTTCCAACAAGTTTAAAGCTTCACAAATTTAACAAAGAAGGGAATCCCCTCAACTGAATTAATAGCAATGTAAAGTGGAACACACATGTTTACATGTCAATTCATCACTCTGAAACACAAGCTTGATTGCCAGTTTGGAAACTAAAGCAAAAATATGTACAGTGCATTGTTTGATTTTTACTGTGTTTGTTAGAGATAACTGGTAATACTGGTTAAATTCACAGGTGATACCTGTTGAACTTTCACGAAGGCAGACACTCACTGTCTCAACTTATAACACTTATTTAAAACAAGCAGCAAATGTAGTCTTTACTACCAATATCTGTGAACAAATTCTCTTAATTTCTATGAATTTCTTTGTGCAAGAGTGTATTTTAATTACTGCTAGGAATTTGACATTACATCAAGACAACATCCTCTTGGTGCTAGTTATTTTTTTCTTCACTACCTGCCTAGTTGACATTATATAAATATCAAAAGTTAAAATTGGTTTGGATTTCTCATCCTCTACTTTGATTTCAAATGATTGTCCTTGATAAAAAATAATCATTTAGTGAATTTTCACATGCCCACTCTAATCCCAAGAGGATATCATCCCTAACAATAATATTATGGATGGTAAAGAATATATGAAGTCATATAAATAATATTATGGGTTTGTAACTGCTATCCAAAATTACATAAACTATCATGTTTTGATTTTCTCCTCTCTTTTTGTTAAACATCGATTAAAGCCCAAGATGGATGAGTGCATGAAGCATCATGTTCACCATCTAACTCCTACATGTAGGAGTGACCAAGACAGAACCTCTCCTTACGATATGAATACAACATCAAACAGACAAGTAACGAGAATATAGAAAATATCAATCAATGAAATCATTCCTTGATCCAATACCAAATTCTCCCAACTAACATCATAAGAATTCTATGGCAGACAGTAAGGAGAATTACTTATGAGATCTTGGGAGCAAAGGGTTCTACTGGTCAGAAGGATTCATTGGACTCGTGTACCTCCCTGCTTACAGATAATGATTCATACAAATCAAGTAAGTTTTCAAGACCTGGTATTCACTTGGAACATTATTACAAATTTACAGATGTTTTACCTTCACTAAGACACTTGGCAATTTTTGCTGGGTAGAATTTACAATCCTGCCACTTTGCTAATACTCGATCACCAGTTTTCCAATCCTGCACACACAAAGAAATCACAAATTGGTCACCATTAATGATTTTCCTACTCCATATCAGCACAAAAGGGAGGGTGGTTAGCTTACTTAAGTGTGTGAATGCAGGAAATTCCATCCAGACAATACCAGCCAGAGGGGTTCCAGCATACACACCTCTTACTTATTGAGTTCAAGGTCTGTGCTGTAAGTTACAGACCAAGTTTGTTTCTGCTTGGATTTTGCACTACAGCCATAATACAAGCTGAAAAAACCAGGTTCTGTAACTTAAAGTACAGGCCAAGAAAACGAGGTTAGCAAGATAATTATTTGAAATCTATTTCATTACTGGGTTCAAATACAGGGGGAAGATTTCAATGCAAACAAACTTTTAAGTTTAGGAGGCTGCACAGTGAAATACAGCCCTATCTGTATCAGCCCTTCAGTACTATCTGAGATAACTTGCCTGCAGAGCAAAGGCTGCATAGATTATAGTGTACACTCACTCTACATGCAGTGTCTACACTCTCTGGGCAAAGAATTTCTACATGGGATTTGTAGCTAATATTTTTAGGCTGCTTCTGCATTCATGCTGTGGGACAGACCAGAAAAGGGTGAACCTAAAAGCACTGAAGCTGAGGAATCCTGCCTTTCATCCTTACCCAAAAACTGCTTATTAAACCGTTTACACCCTAACATCAGTATGCATATTCTCCATACTGTTCTCTATACATTTCCTAAGAAGCTGATTAGGAGAATTTGTTTAACAATCAAGAACTTCTTTAGTTGGTGATCATTTTCTTTATTCTCATGACCTTAATATGTGATTCAGGGGCGATTATAGCAAGGAGAAATTAGATGCTTATCACTCTTGGGGTGTAAACGGTTAAAACATAAAACTCAACTTTAGTCCATGTTGTATCATGTACAAAATGATTTCAACACAGTGTTAAACAGATATTCAAATTTCAAGTTGTTGTTTTTTCCCCCACTGAGAATCTCAAAAGACTGTTGAATTCTAGGTCATCGAAAAAAAAAACAAACAAACAAAGGGATAGCACAGCAAAGATAAGAAAAGTATTATAGAAAAGACAAACAACAGCAAGATCAGCTTTGTCATGATTGTAGAAGGAAAGAGCTCCGTATCAAAGTGATTATAAATATCCTGTGGAGTATTATAGAATGAATTGAAAACCAGAGAATGTGTGCATACATGAGTTCTGCTTCAAAGTAGTGAGGCAAAGTTGAAGAAAGGAGTGAAATTTTTGTTCTCTAACAGGTCATGAAACCAGATGAAAAATGATTAAACTTAGATTTTGGATTATTAACACTCACTAAAGGAAGTGTGCATGTTTCACACTTCACATTGCACATATCTTGTTGGATAATGTTTCCTAGCTATGTTCGTTCATCAATAAATCCTTCCTAATCCTAAATATTGATTCCAAAGTTTGAAAATCATGAATGGAATACAGGGAAAGAGTTTACAATGGAGTATAAAACACAACTCGTCAAAAGGTACGTCATTCTAACTCTGCCAAAGAAAATTAGAAGAAAGCAATGAAAAAAAAAACCAATTTCAGTTTTTCCAATTTTAAACTGTACTTATGCCTTCTACATGCAATTGAAAATAATTTGACTTCAATGTAACCACAGTGATGTGGGGCTGTGTTTCACAAACAGATGCAAAAACATTCAGTGCAGAGATGCAGAGATGGTTAAAGAAATCTAAAATCAGATATGAAAGTGGTTAGTGCTGTACCACTAACTGAACAAGGTATTGTGGGAAGAGGAAAAGAAATTTGAAAATTATACGAATTCTGCTGTCAAAATGAAAAGCTGTTGAAGTTTGGATTAGCATCAAATGAAGCTACACCTTCATCGTGTGATATGTACACTGTATGAAGCAAAGAGAGTGAAGACTGACACTATATTTGGTTTTTGGTTTAAACAACTGAAAAACTGAAGTTAAATGGTGAACATTAGGACATATTTTGCAAACACTGCTGCTGGAGGAATTTTATCAGTTTCAAAGCGATTTCAGACAATCTCATTGCAACATCAGCTTGCTGTTAAAAGCTCACAGAAAAATTAGATCTTGATTTACATACATGAACAACACAGTTTAATTAAAAAAATTATTATCTTACTTCACAACATAAGGTGGTATTTTTACAAGATAAAAATAGCAAAATAGACTCATCTGGTTGACCTGATAGTCGCAAACTTCCTGTTCATCGCAAGGTACGAGGGAAGAGGGCCATAGCACAAAGAAAGCAAGAGAAATATAGTTTAGATTTAACCAAGTGTGTACATAAACTTGCACACAACACACAATCTATTAATAATGGAACAGGGAATATCACCCAAAAACATCTGCATAATGAATGAATGAAAGGGATTTAAGCAACAGAATTAAAAAAGGGTTATGTAAAGAAGGATTTAATATTGAATATTAGGAACTGTCAAGGCAGAAAGTAAAGACCACCAAATGGTGGGTAAACATCATTTTAATGAAGGAACAAACCCTAAAAAAGTGCACATATGAAGTTTGATATTCAACTTCAAGCAGCACAATCCCATTTTAGTAATAATACATTGGAAATGGAAGACTCTGTATTGGATGCTAAATGTAATGTCTTGTGACATCTGTTTGACTAATGATGCTATCAAATTAATTTGCAGTCAGAGCACCATCCAATGAGGCAACTGAATTCAATGACTCTGGCCCTTTTTTTAAGAGCACTAGGGAAAAGAGAGTTTTACTTTTTATTTAGATTAATTTCACTGAGACAACCCTTTGAGGAAGATGCAATTAGCACAAGTTAAGCACAGGTGAAAGACAGAAACAGCTGCAATATTTAATCAACATGGATGAGGCATAAACACAAATTTGCTGTTGTTCAGTTGAACTTAGCTTAAAATAAATTCCAGAAAGAAAAGATCACAAATTTTTATGACTTAAACATTTTGAAAATAGGAAAGAAGACCAAGGAGTATTACTAAGAACAAACAAAAAAAATAAGTAGCACAACCAGAACAAAGTTCAGCACCTGCTCTTCCATCTTAGCTCTATGAACAGTAGATGTGTATTCAATACAAACAAAATATTGAAGAGCATAGCCCCAAAAAGGAAAATTACATGTACAGTGAGAAGCTGAAGATCATGGTGAATTCACTGAAAAGATAATTCAGTGAGCAAATCTTTAAGAGTTACTTTTTTTCTCTTCATAGGTGGAATGTGGAATTGAGGATAGAAATCAGGATCATTGATAGGAAATTAAAAGCATAATGTGAGTCAAAAAAGAAATTTTTAGGCAAGATTGGCATGTATGCTCACACAGTTACATTTTAGTTCATGCATCAACAATGACATGGTAAAGACAAGGTACCTGCCAAAATCAACTGTTCTGACAAATTTTAATACCACAATTTTCTGCCTATCATTATTCTGTGCATTTATCTATTTCATGCCCCTGGAAAAATCAGCAAAATTTAAGTGAAACCCACTCTAATGATTTCAAATAGGCTATTGTAACAGAATTATACAACAAAGAGAACAGATTTCAAGCTATTCTGTGTTACTGTTGCTTAAGCATTAACCAAAAATAGTCAATAATCTACTGCACTAGTACAATGTATTCCCTTTTTAAGCTTAGTTGACCAAAATAAGTTGGGCTTGTCAAACCTTTTCTTCTTTAGAGTCCTGAAAAAGGTGTTGCCGTCCGTGTGGCCTCAAACGTTCACTGTCAAATGCAATCCATTCATCATAACGATGATTCCAGCCCTCAAAATGAATCAGTACCTTCTTATCTTTTTCATCAACACGGCATATTTTAGCAGAATACCTAAAAGATATTGACAAATGTAAAATATAATAAACTTTAAAGGAAAAAAAACTCTGTAATCCATTTTTTGCTTAGAAGCAAAAACAGAACTAAAGGGTATGGTTGCCCAAGGCCAGCCAAAAAACTGAGTAAGGTCTGATACAAAATTCCTGAAATGAAAATGATCCTTGAATAATGTATTAATCTCTATATACATGGTAGCTACCTTTGCATTTAACCATTTCATTTATATATCCCACCAATGACAATCACGTTTGGAGTATTTTCTCTCCAAAGAAAAAATATCTGATCTTTCTCCCATGAATAACGATTATTTTCAGTTAAAATACATTTCATACCAAAGTGGCGAACAATTTTTGATCAGTTTATAGCATAGCATAATAACAGTTCACTAAAACAGAGGCAGTTCTGTGTATAAAAATTTAATATTGCATCAGCTACTTCAACAAAGTGTTAATCCCAAGGCTTCCACTCCACAGGTCTAGTATTTCTCTGCATAAATAATGTGTATCAAGTTGGACTTCCTAGCCAGCTTTGGATGAGTTTTACAAAACATTCATCCTTTACATACAATATTAAATAATAAGCTGAATTATACAAGCATTTAGATCAGTTGTTACCTATGATCTGTTGGAGGACGGATGCAAAGATGACATTACCATCAACAAAATTTAACTTTTTTATCATAAAAGATGAAAAGAATCCATGTTACCATGTGTTTGTATAGTAACAAATCATTGAAGTTGTCAAAATGTTTTAAGAACATCAGTGACAAACTCTGCCACACTTTGAGTGCCATGTTTTTGTTCTTACCACATTTGACCTCATCAGTGATCTATTACTGAATTGATGCAAGTTAACATGGAATCTTTTAATTACCTAGCATGAAATACAAGTGCATACAGTTGAATCCCAGTAACTCAAATTGTCAAGAGAAATTGAAATTACTTTGAGTTATCGGGGTTTTGAACAAAAATACCAGAAACACCTGATCAATTCCAGACTATGAGCAGTTATTTCTCTTTGCTGGAGAGAACTGTCATAACTATTTGTTTATGGACATGCAAACATGTGATATTGACAAAGGTTAGTTTGTCATAATATACAACTGAGATTAAATGTAATCCATGCTGCAAAATTTTCTGGCTCATTAGTCTTCAAAAGTGAAAATCAACTTCAAGTTATCAAGGGTAAAATTGCAAAGAAAAGTACCCAAAGGGCAGTAAAAATTGTTTCAAGTTAGTGGGGTTATGAGTTGGCAGGGTTTCTAGCTATTGGGGTTTTGAGTTATAGGGGTTAAAATTACAGTAAATATATGAGGCAAATCCAAGGAAAATCAGCTTTGCCTCAAGTTAGCGCGAATTTGAATTAACACTGGTTTGAGTTATTGGAACTGTAAGTGGAACTGTATATATCAACTGTAAGTGCATATTTTTGCTCTTGCTAACAGCTTGAGAGATTTAAGAAGTTGTCAGAAAACTGTGATGAACATCAAATGCATGCAGGGATTTCTCAAATTTGAATGATTGTGATAGAGACATTTTGGCTTGCAAAACAAAGAGGTAAATGTTTCAAAGGGACATTTGGAGATTAAATGCTACTTGAAGAAGGCTTTCAAGCACTTGCAAAAGCTCTTAGCTTGTGCTACTGAGAATATCATCAAGCATTGATAATTTATCACAATGAGAGAGTTGCCAGCCTAAGGCAGATCCCTTTCAACCTCTTCATGTATTACAATATTAACACAGATGCTCAATGTGTTTGCATTGATCACATGTTGTAATCTACTCCATGAAAATACAGAAACTAATTATTACAATTTATAACTAATGAAAAGAATGCACTTGTTCATCTGTGCTAAGGTTTTATTTAAAATCCACCCAGGTTTACCATTTTTGCTCGACTTTAACCTCTTGTTGTATATATTTCCTGGTGTAAGAAGTAACAATATTGAAGAATACCTCATAAATATAACGAACTATACCAAAAGTATTGTTTTGTACCAGAAGTAAATATTTCTTTACGTACGTAGGTAAGTATATTTGTAATTGAAAAGCTTTAAGTAACAGACGTTCAAGATTATAGTTTCTATCGATTTCTACAAAAGTACAAAGGAAAATGCGAGTAAAATATCAATTTTTATCTCGTAAAAAAAGGGAACAAAAGAGGATAAAAATTCGCTATAATTTCAACTTGATGTGGTGACATCATTATCGGCACTAAAATTAAAGCAAACTTCGAAACGACACTTTTTCAATCTTTCCCCGAAAAGCACTTTGTCAAACTGAATACGTACCGTGGCAGAGATAAGAGGAGGAAAACCACGGAGTATTCCGGCCAAGTTTTGAAATGTCACCGCCAGAAATCGATTTATCACGAAAATTTTTAAGAACAGGCTGAAATCAGCCAAGCATGCAAACAAACAAAATTTGAGTTACGCGCGCAGTTTTTAGGAACATTCCTACCAAAAACACGGGTCAGAAGCAAGTAAATCTCTCCGTGCATGAAAGTAATACTACTCACCAACTTAACGTGTAATCCATTGCTTCGAGCCGGGCTCCGACTTGAAAATTAATTTTATATTTCGTTGAAGTGGGAGAGGTTTTCGTCGACATTTTGACCTTCACTGTTGACGATTCGTATAAATGCTAACCATTTGCACTACCACACCAAGTGAATCATTGCTCGAACGCCACGCACACAATAAGGAATGCAACCCGTAACCCAGAAACTCAAAAGACTTTTCTCTCCACGGACAACACCACAGGTCAACGTAACAAGAAACGCTTTCTTTCTTGGATCAATAGGAAACAACATGACTCAAATATCCACGAGGATTATAATTCCAACCACAATACCTTGCGAGCAGGAGGTTCATTTACTCAAGGTACTAGTACAAGACAACACATATTGCTCCTATCATTTCGCGGCCATTTTGGAACAAAATTAATAACTGTGATTTCCAAGATAACGATTCCTTACTAATGCCAATTTTCGCCTTATTTTGTGGTATTTAGATAGAAATGTGTTTGGTTGACCTAATGATGAATAAAATACAAGACTCCAACGCCCCATAAATTGTACAAATTTCATTAACATACTCCATACTTTTCTTATGAAAATGACAAAGTGCAGCAAACTATATGTAAATTAAAAATATTGCGAAGAAATAAATTAAAAAAATGTATTACTCTTTACAATAAGTGTGTATGTGGCCGAGAGAGGCTAGAAAATTGTATGCAACAACTACATTTTGGATTATATGGTTTAGCCTAGCTAGTAAGTTAATTGTTTATAAATAATTTTTAGTAGGAAATAAGATGTAAAGACATTGTTGGAAGTATCATAATTCCTTGTTATAGATATTGCTTGTAAGCAACTCTCTGAAAAAGATGCATTTAATGCTTTTTCAAAGTTTGTCTCTTTTGTGTTGAAAATCCTGTGAAAGGACCACACCCATTATCTGAATACTATGCAAGAATGCATGATTTTTCTCATTTGGGAATTGAAATACATTTCACTCTAAGCTTTGCTTCGCAGAAGCAGTTGAATGTGGGTAAATGACATAGATCAAGGGTATAAACGATGTTTCCTACTGCGAATAAAATTTGACCCTCTTGTTATAAATATTAATAGTAGGTATATAAATAGCCATCAATAATCTGAGAATAGCCATTCTGAGGATCTATCTGTTTGTACATAAGTTGAAAATTGCTTTAAAATGATTGAATCAAGTTGCAAATTTTATATTCACATTTGGTCTCACGAGTAGAATGAAGAAAGTGCCTTTGATTTTGAACAGCAGCATAAAAACAGGAAGTATGCCACAAACTACTGCAACCTTTTCAAACTACAAGAAACATGTTACTTTTAAGTTATTGTGTTTCATAATCCTCAGCTTCATTAAAATCTCAATAAGAAACAAAATTCACAAATGCATCATGCCAGGTACAAGAGAAAGGTTTCTCCTGATATGTTTTCCACAGATTTGGTTTGCAAAAGCTATGTTATGTCTTAACATTCATCCTCTTCTTAAATCTAAAGGAGGGCTTATTTTCATGTTAAATCTGAATTGTTAACCTCTCTAAGCATAGACACCTTCAACATTAGGTTTTAGGAATTTTATACCTTATTATTGATATCAAATCCATTTTTTTTTAACATTCTTCATTGCATGACTGAACACAGTGTATAACAGTTAAATAATTACTTAGTCAATCATAAATATCATATCATTAACATGGATACGTTCATACCTGATTGCTAGTGATGAAAAAGAATTCAACAAACAAAAATTAACTAAGGAAATAACTTATTTTGCTTTCAAAAAGACAATTTTCATGATAATAACATAAAAAAAATTATCCTCATCTCCAAAATTTTCCCACAAAATTTTTTAATAAAGAATCATGCCTCTTACCTTGTTGTGCTCTTTCTTTGAAAACACTAAACAAGACCTGCTTTTGTTTATACAACGAAAAATTTCAAGCCAAAAGTTCCCCAATGACAAAGGAAATAAGATTCTTTTTTATTTATGAGCCCAAGGTGATTAGGTACTCAGCGGTGATTCGCATGAATTTATAACCATAACCAACCAATCAGAGCAAGACACGAGAGACCGGCCCCTTTGAAGGTCAGGAAGGTTTTTTACACATTTCCCACGTCAGCCAAAAACTCTGTTGTGGCTATAAGCCTGAGCGATACTTTCGCTAAATTCTGCAATTCTCCAAACATGGGGCTTCTATACTGTAAGAACAGGTCTCAAAATCTGCGTAGAGATGGGCCTCTTTGGTTTACTGACAATATTTTGTATCATTTTGCAGGTGTATTTTTATCATGTTTCGTTTCGCTTGCAAGAGGTCTTTATGGTCCGCAAACTGATGTGGTTCAACTGACAGCAAATAATTTTAGATCGATGGTTATGGACAGTGATAGCATATGGCTTGTAGAATTCTTTGCTCCTTGGTACGTATGAAATATTTATTTTCAACGCTTCAGCTAAAATTAAAATCCAGTAAGGTACACTTGTACGTAACTGAGTGGAGATTTTCATAATTCAATAAATCTATGTGATTTTGCATACCTTGAAAAGCGTAAATGCTTTCCGAGCATAGCATTTTAAAATAGAAAAATCTAAGGCTAGCTGTGATGGTATTTATTTGAACATCCTGGGACAGAGAAACGTGATTTTTTAAATCTTTGCTTTAATTGTTTAAATTTAAGTGATAATGTGAGAACTTAATTATGTAGTGTAGATTAAGTTGATTTTTGTTTTCCATTCTGTGTGCCGGAAATAAGCAAATCTTCCTGTTCGAAATTTTAAATGTATTACATCTTATGACAAACAGAACAAATTGTTTGAAAGTATGACGACCAATCATTCTATCATGAAGTGTCCACATAGCCCCTTTTCTGTGTCTAGTTGTGTGACAAATCGACTGGAGATTTTCTCTTTTTTATCTAACCTCCCCCTTAGTATGAAAGACCAAACTCCCCCCCCCCCACTTTTTGTTTTCAGTAACTTCAAAAACTTTCAGCTGATGAATCTAAAATTTGATGGTTATTTTGATAAATCTTTCTTACAGACCTTGTCCCTACAGTTACCTCCTAGTGGGGGTGGTGGGAAGTTCTTCCAAGGGGGGGAAGGTGGGGAGTTTGATAAAAATGGAATGCCACAGTACTTCAAAAATTCCAAAGAGGGGAGAAGAGTCTGGGGTCTAACAGTAGGGATTGAGCTGTTCACTTGGTAACTGAATTATGTTGTCCTTATTTAGGTGTGGCCATTGTAAAGCATTAGCTCCAGAATGGATTAAAGCAGCATCAGCACTGAAGGTATGTGCAAGCTGTCTAGCTGAAGTCTGAGAGTTTTTTGGGAATACTTGGAGGTCAAGGAAGGTCCTGATATCAACTAAATAACAGGATTTATGTCCTTGAAAACTCCATAATAACCTCCCAAGGTTCCTGATTTTGTTGAAATGTTCTAGGCCCAGTTGTTCAAAGGTTGATTAGCGCCAGCCCAAGGTAAAATTTCAATCTGGGTCTCTTTAATTAAAAACCTTTTTGGGATAATTTTCTGCTTTCTTTTTAGAGCCTCCAGTGATCATATTCTGGACAAAAAGAATCCGACTGAATTTTCTTTCAAAGCTTTCTGATCTGAAACCAGATTTCACACTAATCCTGGGTTATCTTAACCCAGCTTTGAATGACCTGGCTCTACATTTTACTCAATGTAGTTGTTGGCCATGCAGCTTTTGGTCTCAGTCTTATTTCTAAATGGTTTTCTTGGCATCTCAGATTTTATCATGCCCTACCCTTTCTCAAAATAGTATATATGACACTTCAAGCAGCCAGAGACAAAACCGTCCATCAAGAGTCTAATTTCTAACCATGTTTTGGTATAACAAGAGCAATAAATTAATTTTTTGGTATCTGTGTGGTATATACTAAAACAGATATTCACCTCACTGTTAGTGAAAGTGGTGGATATTTACCTTGCCACTTTGTGGCTCAGCAAATATCTACCACTTTTCACCTCCACTTTGGTAAGTGATTGTTAATTATTCTGTTGTTAGGGAGTTGTCAAAGTTGGAGCTGTAGATATGGATGATCAACAAAATCAACAAATTGGAGGACAATATGGTATCCGGGGATTTCCAACAATAAAGGTTTGTAAATTAAAGCCAAAACATGATGGCGACAGCAAGGAGGATGTGGCAAAACAAAAGATCTAATGGGTATAACAATAGCTCAGCATGTGTTTTTTAAATTTTTGTACAATTCTTTGGTGTCCTCTGCAAATCAATATTGTGAAATCACTCAAATTGATGCAGTCTGAGAACAGAAAGCCAGACAGCAATTTACTGAAATTTCCTGCCATTTGCAAAATTCTAACTTAAGATTCTCATTTTAAATCGACATCTTCCGAGGTGTTGCCGTCCTGACTGCTCCAGGTTCCAAATGCTACTAGTCACACACTTGTATGGTTGCAGTAAAATCAACTTACAACTTTGTGGCTCATCCTACCTGAGCAATCATTTGAGTTGGTGGATTTTTAAATTTTGTGTTGAAAACCTTGTCACGTTAGGCCAGATCTTTGAGTTGATTGAGTGTTGTTGTGTTTACTTTGAAATTAAAGTATTCTTTTTCTGTTGTCCTTTATCTTTTCAGGTGTTTGGTGCTAACAAGAACTCTCCAACTGATTATAATGGTTTGTTCAAAATTATGATCATTTGATAATTCTTGTTTCTTATGATTTGAAGATTGGCTGTTTGTGACTAGAACTCATTTACTTTTCTTTGAAGGTGCCAGAACAGCTCAGAGTATCATTGATTCTGGTCTCAGTGCTGCTAAATCCATGGTGAATCAGCGACTTTCTGGAGGAGGGAGATCTGGTTCTGGTAGAGGAGGAGGAGGAGGAGGAGGAGGTGGAGGTGGAGGAAAACAGGTATTTTATTAACCCTTACATCCTATTATCAGTATGCAATTTCTCCACACTATTCTCAATACAGTTCTTAAGGTGTGGACAAGTAGAATTTGTATAATGGTCAAGAGCTTCTTAATTGTTGATCATTTGTTGTGACCTTAATGTGTAATTCAAAGTTGATATTCACTTTTATGGGTCAAACAGTCATGATCATGAGAATAAAGGAATTGATCACCAACCTAAGAAACTTTGATTGGTAAACATCTTCTCCTTGTCAGTACCAAAGGAAATGTGCAGAGGACAGTATGGAGAATATGGATTCTGATCTATGGGTGTAAAGGGTTAAAGAAGTGTCTCTTGCAGAGAGTCTGCTCAATATACTATCTGTCAGTAACTTGATAGAAGTAAATCTCTATGAAATCATTCTGCAGGGTAGCAAGGAGGATGTAGTTGAACTAACTGATGCCAACTTCGAGAGAGAAGTTCTCAACAGCAAAGACCTTGTTTTGGTTGAGTTCTTTGCACCTTGGTAAGTCACAGAGGATACTTTCTTGATGTAATTTGGAATTCTTCTCAACAAATAAATTCTAGAAGCTTGAAGGCAGAAGTAGTGATCTGATCTTGGTTTTACTTCAGGTGTGGTCACTGTCAAAGGCTTGCTCCTGAATGGGCAAAGGCAGCATCAGAGCTGAAAGGCAAAGTAAAAGTTTGTGCTCTTGATGCTACAGTTCATACTACCACTGCTGGGAGGTACCAAATTCAAGGTTACCCAAGTATCAAGGTCTTTGCAGCAGGTGTCAAAGATTCCCACAGTGTGGAAAACTATGAAGGAGGAAGAACAGCTTCAGACATTGTACAGTTTGCACTGGATAGGCTTTCTGAATCCATTGAGCCACCTGAGGTGCTTGAGATTGTCAACAGCGAGGTTCTGAAAACTAACTGTGAGGAGAAGCCTATCTGTGTTATTTCTGTTCTGCCACACATTTTGGATTCTGGAGCCTCTGGAAGGAACAAGTATCTGGACATATTAAAGTCGATGGGTGAGAAGTACAAGAAGAAGCTGTGGGGTTGGATCTGGACGGAGGCTGGGGCACAGGCAAAGCTTGAGGATGCTGTTGGCTTGGGTGGCTTCGGGTACCCGGCAATGGTAGCAGTTAATGCTCGTAAAATGAAATATGCTGTACTGAAAGGTCCTTTTGATAACACAGGTATTGATGAGTTTCTTAGGGCTGTTTCAGTTGGTCGTGGTGCAACAGCACCCATCAAGAGTGCAGGGCTTCCTACTGCAGAGGAAATACAACCTTGGGATGGCAAAGATGGAGAACTGCCTATAGAAGAAGACATTGATTTATCTGATGTAGATCTTGATGAGGAAGAAGGAGTGAAAAAGGACGAGCTGTAAATGTGTGGATGTGTAATACAGAACTGATATTTGTTGGAAATCTCTGTGTAGTGCAGTTTCGGCATCAGTTGTAACATGCACAACTTGAGTCCAAGAAGAGAGCCTAGATTTCCTAACAGTACAAAAGTTATCCTGTAGCTTTTTATCCCAAGTGGTTTTTCACATCAATATTAGGAAGTTGTTCACTAATAAATTAATGTTTGGTCAGCTTTGCATAATGCTTTTTGTTTGATGTTGTTACAGTAATCTTGTCCTGTCATCAGTCAGACCCATTTGTATTCTAGATTTCTAGGGCTAGTTTTTTAGGGCTAGATTGTTGGAAACCTGATGATCACGACTCGAAGATGAACCAAATCCTGTTCACCCTTTAACTCCTAAGATCTGATTGCTAATTCTCCCTTCTTGCTGCTACACATTTCCTTTAAAATTAGTTACAAGAATTTGGTGTTAAATTAAGATAGCAAGTTCTGTGATAAGTTTGAGTATTCTCATTACCTGTTTGCTAAATGATGTATGGATATAATAGGGAGAAGTTACATGTTAATCACTTCTGGAAGTTAAAGGGTTTAAGCCTGAAGTTTTTAAGGCTTCTTTTTCTGCAATATTTTCAATGACAGTCCACCTGCACAGATTTTTTTTGTTACCAGTGCTTGAATGACATGAACTTGTGGAGTTAAGAGCCAAACTTTCACTGTTGTTCAAGCTGTCATCAATCATCCTGATAATTACCCTCTGAAGGCAGCAATGATTAAAAGGGGTCACAATCCTAAAATAAAATATCAGGAACATACACTTAGCACCCTTTGAATCAGGAAGTATTATAGCTAAGAGGTCTGCAATTTGAATAACAGCGTGAAGCAGTTGGCAATGAAACATCCACAACTTGATATTTCAGGTTAATTGAAAGTCCACACCCACCTAAAGCGGCCCAGGCATGAAGTGGTTGGCAATATTTCTTCTCTTGCATGGATGATGACATCCATGGGGTAGTAGTAATACTGCCAGTCCATCGCAAGGTTACATGCCAGTATTTCATCTGGCTTCCCTGACAGCTAAGCAGTACTGTATGTAATTATATAC